AAGCGCACATTGCGCGAGTACCTGCAAATGCATCAAGCAAAAATTGCAAAAGCAAACAAACACACGAACATTCTATTCACACCCAAATGCATTCGCACACGCATACTCGTACAAACAGACGGCAGGATGTCGTGCAATGTAAATTTGCACCCAACACACTCCCCCTCAGCCTGCCGGCTGCATCCCCATCATTCCATGCTAGTTCATGCTCATTCCACTCATGCGCACACAACGCCAATGAGGCTCATCCGCAAGCCTCTTGGTGAGAAAGTCTGCTGGCTGCTGGTGAGTCTTGATGTAGATCGGATTCACCGTCCCCCTCTTCACCTCCTTACGCAGCCAGTGCCACTTGATACGCATGTGCTTGTTCAGCCTATGAAGCACAGCATTCCTGGCCATCCCAAGAGCCCCCTTGCTCTCGCAAAACAGCGGCGTAGCAACTTTCTGCTCCTGGCCAATCTCCTCTAACAGCCTCCTCAGCCAAATCACCTCCTTCACCCCATGGAACATTGCCATGTACTCTGATTCTACGGAAGAGAGTGCCGTCTCCGTCTGCTTCTTGGACCTCCAACTAACAGGTCCTCCCCCAACTACGCAGATGTATCCTCCCACAGATGAGGAATCCTCCTTCTCAGAAGCCCAAGTAGCATCAGTGAAACAAGTCAGAAAGAGCTTGCCTTCTCCAAGCCTCTCCCCCTTCTCTTTCAGCACCTCCACCCCTTTCTGCTTCACCTGTGCAGATGCGGAGTATTGAACTCCAATGGTTGGGTGAGAGTTCAGGTACTTCACCACACGCTCAGCTGCATCCACCTGCTCCTCTGATGGATTCTGCACCACCCTAGCCAGCTGCCCAACCGAGAAAGAGATGTCGGGCCTCGTATGAACCGCTGCATACAAGAGGCTGCCCACCAAGGACTGAAATTGCTGCTGCTCCTCGGCTTCAACCCTTTCATCCTCTGCAGCCTTCACAAGCTTGAATTCTGCTGGCAGGGAAGTTGCAACCTTGCGCTCATTCTCAATCCCATACTTCTCCCCCAGCTCCTTGATGAACTTCTCCTGGTGCAGCTTCAACCACCTGTGATCAGGATCCCTCTCCACGTGCATCCCGAGGTAGTACTTTACCTCCCCAAGGTTCTTGCACTTGAAGTTCTCCATCAGTTGCTGCAGCACATTCTTGATCTCCTTCATACTGCTGCTTGTTGGTGTAAGGGCCTAATAAACTCAAGCTATTAGGACTTAATCAAACTTAAAACCTCTCCTCGGGGTCACCTCCAAGGGTCCCTGGGTGCCTGGTACAAGACCAGCCCCTATCCTCGGGTCCGAGTTTGTAGAGAGAGGGATCAAGAAGGACTTAGTCAAAAACAGCAAGAGTACCTTGAACGTCGCGCAGCGTGCCGTGCAGACCGTCGGTCGGATTAAGCTGAGAATTCGCTATATCGAAGCTCGCTCCAAGAGCTTTAAAATGAGCCAAGTTGCCTCGCGAAAAGTTCTGCCATTACGAAGTTATGGCTCAGACAGCGTTTGCCTAGCGTTGGAGTGCTAGCATACTAGCGTTGACTCGGGTAGCATTCCGCCGTCGAATAGCGCAGAAACGAAATTCCAGCGAGGAAGGAATTCGCATGAATCAATTTGACTATATTCAGGTACAAACAGAGAAGGATTAAATAGTTCTAGCTAGCAAGGACCTTGGGAATCAACCTGGGAACAACCAGGGATGATCCCAAATAATTCCAAGCAACAGAACCAACCTGGCTGGACAAAATAGCAGGTGGTAGGTTGGTAAACAACCTCTGGTTCTGTTTTTCCAACCTGGGAAAACAACAACCAGGTTCAGGTTCTAAAAACAGAACCTGTTTTGTCTTTGCCCAACCAGCCAAATGCTGGTTCCGCTGGTTTCCCTGGCCTTGTAGCATGCAGATACAGACAAACAACATCCAACCTTCACCTAAATTGTACCCCTATAGTGCCTTCCCTGCTACACTATAGTTAACCAAACAAAACAGTACAATTTCGAGTTGGATAGAACTGAATCTGCGCAATCAACTCAACCGAACTGCAAAGCTTCCATCTTGGGTTCCTTTGCGAGCTCGTCCTTTCTGCTTGCATTGTTCATAGCGCGTACAATGTCGTGCCGAAGCGCACATTGCGCGAGTACCTGCAAATGCATCAAGCGAAAATTGCGAAAGCAAAACAACACGAACACACCATTCACACACAAATGCATTCGCACACGCATACTCGTACAAACAGACGGCAGGATGTCGTGCAATGTGCATTTGCACCCAACACACTCCCCCTCAGCCTGCCGGCTGCATCCCCATCATTCCATGCTAGTTCATGCTCATTCCACTCATGCGCACACAATGCCAATGAGGCTCATCCGCAAGCCTCTTGGTGAGAAAGTCTGCTGGCTGCTGGTGAGTCTTGATGTAGATTGGATTCACCGTCCCCCTCTTCACCTCCTTACGCAGCCAGTGCCACTTGATACGCATGTGCTTGTTCAGCCCATGAAGCACAGCGTTTCTGGCCATCCCAAGAGCCCCCTTGCTATCACAAAACAGCGGCGTAGCAACTTTCTGCTCCTGGCCAATCTCCTCTAACAGCCTCCTCAGCCAAATCACCTCCTTCACCCCATGGAACATCGCCATGTACTCTGATTCTACGGAAGAGAGTGCCGTCTCCGTCTGCTTCTTGGACCTCCAACTAACAGGTCCTCCCCCAACTACGCAGATGTATCCTCCCACAGATGAGGAATCCTCCTTCTCAGAAGCCCACGTAGCATCGGTAAAGCAAGTGAGAAATAGCTTGCCTTCTCCAAGCCTCTCCCCCTTCTCTTTCAGCACCTCCACCCCTTTCTGCTTCACCTGTGCAGATGCGGAGTATTGAACTCCAATGCTTGGGTGAGAGTTCAGGTACTTCACCACACGCTCAGCTGCATCCACCTGCTCCTCTGATGGATTCTGCACCACCCTAGCCAGCTGCCCAACCGAGAAAGAAATGTCGGGCCTCGTGTGAACTGCTGCATACAAGAGGCTGCCTACCAAGGACTGAAATTGCTGCTGCTCTTCAGCTTCAACCCCTTCATCCTCTGCAGCCTTCACAAGCTTGAATTCTGCTGGCAGGGGAGTTGCAACCTTGCGCTCATTCTCAATCCCATACTTCTCCCCCAGCTCCTTGATGAACTTCTCCTGGTGCAGCTTCAACCACCTGTGATCTGGATCCCTCTCCACGTGCATCCCGAGGTAGTACTTTACCTCCCCAAGGTTCTTGCACTTGAAGTTTTCCATCAGTTGCTGCTGCACTTTCTGGATCTCCTTCATGCTGCTGCTGAAGAGAAGAATGTCGTCCACATAGACCAGAAACAGCACCAGCTTCTCCCCCTCGCCCTTGAGAAAGAGGCTCTCATCACAGCTGCTGGTCCTGAATCCCATCTCCTCTAAAACAGCTGCCAACTTCTGGTACCAGCAGCGTGGCGCCTGCTTCAAGCCGTAGATGGACTTGTTGAGCTTGCACACCCTGCCCGTACCATCCTCATACCCAGGCGGCTGCGTCATGTACACATCCTCCTCTAAAATCCCATTCAGGAATGCCGTTGAAATATCCATCTGAATGATGAATTTCCCACTAACAGCTGCATCTGCCAACAAGACACGGAGGGTAGGGGGTTTGGCAGTGGAAGCAAAGATCTCGTTGAAGTCCTGCTTCTCCTTCTGCATAAACCCCTTCGCCACCAGCCTACTCTTGTAGATGGTGACCTGCCCCTGTTGTCAGCGGTCTTGATCCTCAGCACCCACTTGCATTGTATCGCTTTCTTCCCATCAGGCAGCACCACCAGATCCCATGTCCTATTCTCCAGCAGACTCTGGTGTTGGTGTAAGGGCCTAATAAACTCAAGCTATTAGGACTTAATCAAACTTAAAACCTCTCCTCGGGGTCACCTCCAAGGGTCCCTGGGTGCCTGGTACAAGACCAGCCCCTATCCTCTGGTCCGATTGTTGAGAGAGAGGATCAAGAAGGACTTAGTCAAAACAGCAAGAGTACCTTGAACGTCGCGCAGCGTGCCGTGCAGACCGTCGGTCGGATTAAGCTGAGAATTCGCTATATCGAAGCTCGCTCCAAGAGCTTTAAAATGAGCCAAGTTGCCTCGCGAAAAGTTCTGCCATTACTAAGTTCTGGCTCGGACAGCGTTTGCCTAGCGTTGGAGTGCTAGCATACTAGCGTTGACTCGGGTAGCATTCCGCCGTCGAATAGCGCAGAAACGAAATTCCAGCGAGGAAGGAATTCGCTTGAATCAATTTGACTATATTCAGGTACAAACAGAGAAGGATTAAATAGTTCTAGCTAGCAAGGACCTTGGGAATCAACCTGGGAACAGCCAGGGATGATCCCAAATAATTCCAAGCAACAGAACCAACCAGGCTGGACAAAATAGCAGGTGGTAGGTTGGTAAACAACCTCTGGTTCTGTTTTTCCAACCTGGGAAAACAACAACCAGGTTCAGGTTCTAAAAACAGAACCTGTTTTGTCTTTGCCCAACCAGCCAAATGCTGGTTCCGCTGGTTTCCCCTGGCCTTGTAGCATGCAGATACAGACAAACAACATCCAACCTTCACCTAAATTGTACCCCTATAGTGCCTTCCCTGCTACACTATAGTTAACCAAACAAAACAGTACAATTCCGAGTTGGATAGAACTGAATCTGCGCAATCAACTCAACCGAACTGCAAAGCTTCCATCTTGGGTTCCTTTGCGAGCTCGTCCTTTCTGCTTGCACTGCTTGCCTGTTCATAGCGCGTACAATGTTGTGCCGAAGCGCACATTGCGCGAGTACCTGCAAATGCATCAAGCGAAAAATGCGAAAGCAAACAAACACACGAACACACCATTCACACGCAAATGCATTCACACTCGTACAAACAGACGGCAGGATGTCGTGCAATGTGCATTTGCACCCAACACACCCCCCCTCAGCCTGCCGGCTGCATCCCCGTCATTCCATGCTAGTTCATGCTCATTCCACTCATGCGCACACAACGCCAATGAGGCTCATCCGCAAGCCTCTTGGTGAGAAAGTCTGCTGGCTGCTGGTGAGTCTTGATGTAGATCGGATGCACCGTCCCCCTCTTCACCTCCTTACGCAGCCAGTGCCACTTGATACGCATGTGCTTGTTCAGGCCATGAAGCACAGCGTTTCTGGCCATCCCAAGAGCCCCCTTGCTATCACAAAACAGCGGCGTAGCAACTTTTTGCTCCTGGCCAATCTCCTCTAACAGCCTCCTCAGCCAAATCACCTCCTTCACCCCATGGAACATCGCCATGTACTCTGATTCTACGGAAGAGAGTGCCGTCTTCGTCTGCTTCTTGGACCTCCAACTAACAGGTCCTCCCCCAACTACGCAGATGTATCCTCCCACAGATGAGGAATCCTCCTTCTCAGAAGCCCATGTAGCATCGGTAAAGCAAGTGAGAAATAGCTTGCCTTCTCCAAGCCTCTCCCCCTTCTCTTTCAGCACCTCCACCCCCCCCCCCTTCTGCTTCACCTGTGCAGATGCGGAGTATTGAACTCCAATGCTTGGGTGAGAGTTCAGGTACTTCACCACACGCTCAGCTGCATCCACCTGCTCCTCTGATGGATTCTGCACCACCCTAGCCAGCTGCCCAATCGAGAAAGAGATGTCGGGCCTCGTGTGAACTGCTGCGTACAAGAGGCTGCCCACCAAGGACTGAAATTGCTGCTGCTCTTCAGCTTCAACCCCTTCATCCTCTGCAGCCTTCACAAGCTTGAATTCTGCTGGCAGGGGAGTTGCAACCTTGCGCTCATTCTCAATCCCATACTTCTCCCCACCAGCTCCTTGATGAACTTCTCCTGGTGCAGCTTCAACCACCTGTGATCTGGATCCCTCTCCACGTGCATCCCGAGGTAGTACTTTACCTCCCCAAGGTTCTTGCACTTGAAGTTTTTCATCAGTTGCTGCTGCACTTTCTGGATCTCCTTCATGCTGCTGCTGAAGAGAAGAATGTCGTCCACATAGACCAGAAACAGCACCAGCTTCTCCCCTTCGCCCTTGAGAAAGAGGCTCTCATCACAGCTGCTGGTCCTGAATCCCATCTCCTCTAAAACAGCTGCCAACTTCTGGTACCAGCAGCGTGGCGCCTGCTTCAAGCCGTAGATGGACTTGTTGAGCTTGCACACCCTGCCCGTACCATCCTCATACCCAGGCGGCTGCGTCATGTACACATCCTCCTCTAAAATCCCATTCAGGAATGCCGTTGAAATATCCATCTGAATGATGAATTTCCCACTAACAGCTGCATCTGCCAACAAGACACGGAGGGTAGGGGGTTTGGCAGTGGGAGCAAAGATTTCGTTGAAGTCCTGCTTCTCCTTCTGCATAAACCTCTTCGCCACCAGCCTACTCTTGTAGATGGTGACCTGCCCCTTGTCATCGGTCTTGATCCTCAGCACCCACTGCTTGTATCGCTTTCTTTCCCATCAGGCAGCACCACCAGATCCCATGTCCTATTCTCCAGCAGACTCTGGTACTCAGCATCCCTAGAAGCCAGCCACTTGTCCCTATCTGGTCCAGCTAATGCCTCTTCCATGCTAGCTGGTTCCTCTGGTGCAGGGGCAAGAAAACAGTAAGCAAGGCTCATCCTCCTCATCCGGGTCATAACCATGAGGTAGAATCAGCAATGCCTCTTCGGTCCCTAGCTGCTGCTCTGCTGCATCAGTTTCTGCAGTCAGCTTCTTAGTAGCCATACGGGTACGTCCTGGCCTGGAGACGGGTGTCTCCCATCCCTTCATAACGACACCCTTCGGCTTCTTAGTTTGTCCCAGCTGCTTCTCTCCTCCCTCGGTCAGCAGCTCCACTAGCCACTAGTGCTGCCGCCAGTTTCCACACAATTTTCTCCACCAGCAGGTGCCTTCCTGTACCTCCTCCATCACCTTCCCCGCAGCTGCCTCCTCTCCCTCCTCCCACACACTAGGAGTCAGGTCCAGCTGCATGGTGATCTGCTCC